TCACCGATTTTCTTGCGCAGAATATCAAATATATGTTTTGTTCACTCTCTCCACACGCAAGACTATCGTCTTTCGACGACGTTTGCAGTGTACCATAGAGATATGGGGCCAATTTTTTTTACAAATGCGAGGTGTCGGCACGTACCTCTGTTGACACTGTTCCCCATTCAAGTCGGCTTCGTGAAGTGCGTGACCAATTTGAGGCCTGCGTGTGCGGGCACTTGAGCCGAATTCTTCCTTTTGCTTGTTTCTTTTACATATGCCCCGCTCTTGTGTTGCGCGTTGAAGTCTCCTAATACCACCAAGCCGTTTTTCTTGGCTAGCTTTCTCGCTGCTTTTATTAGTGGCTCGAAATCAAGGTTACTTTGCCTAGTTTGGCTGTACATGTTCAGAATGAACACGCTCCCCTTACCTCTCTTGTGCGGTATTATTGATGTCAGTGTCTAGTGCGGGGTGTTGCATTGCCGTTATTGCTTTGGGCACCAGGGTCGTCGCTTTTCTCTCAGTCTGGCTCAAGAATGCGTTGTGCCCTCTTAGGCTGTGAGAGTAATCAGTCTGCTGCACTGCTATAATATCGGGCCTGACAAGGGTTGTCTACACATATTGCCGAAGGGTGCTTTGCTTCTTGCGGCAGTTCCACTGCCAAATTTCCATTCTTTCTGTGTTTTCCTTAGTGGTTCCGGCCATTATGCATGATTGGACTCACTGTCACTTACGGATGAGAACGGAGGCCTATTGTATGCCTTTTTTAATTTTGTCGGTGTGGAGTTTCTTCCTGAGAGCATTGTTCGGAAAGTTGGCTTTGAAATTATTGAAGCTGCTGTGTCAGCTGCGACGGCGTTTGTTCTTGTCGCAGCTGCATCTGCAGCTGCAGTTGCTGTAGCTGTTGTTCCGATGGCAGTTGTGCTGTTTGTGCGCTTTTCATGGAAGTGGTCTGATAAACCCTCGGAATGATCGCCATTGACACGTGCATTTCCTTTCCAGAGTTCCCCTTCCCTGCTGTGGCGCGTATTTCACTCTGGTCGCCCGCGTAAACATCTCTGTTTTTGAGAACTTTCAATAAATTATTTACCTTGCGGGTGAGTTCGTTGCATTCGGTGCGCGTAACTTCGAGCTCCCGCCTCATGACTGCGCATTCGTTACATTTGTATATGACTTGTGTTGTGCGTGTGTTCGCCGGAGCTTTGGTATTGGCAGCTATTTTTGCCAGCCTACCTTTTTGGTTTTCTTCTTTTTTTTCTTCTTTTGTTTTGGGTTTGTGTTGCTTTCGTCCTGCTGCTTCCTAGTGGTCGACGTCGAACGGAACCGGCTGCGGCTCATGGAGGTGTTCCCCTCGGAGCTGAACCATTGTCGCTTGCCTTTCCCATCGCGGCCGTCCTTGCGGCTACGCCGGGTATTCTTCCAGACGTCTTTTACTTGGTTGTGATTGGTTGGGCGTATTGACTTTTTTCAGGCGCTCTTTGCACTCGCGAACACCAGTGAGATGCATTTCACCACATAGCATGCACTTGGGCACACAAGTATGCCCAGTTTCAGGGTTGCACAGTCCGCACTGTCGGCACACACGCAGTTCTGGTTGTCGGGCAAGCGTCCGAACGGGCACCTAGTTTAAAGCAAATGTAGCATACTTGCCTTGTGAGTCGGTAGAAGTGACAGGGTTCCTCACCTCCATAGTAGTTTACGAACCTCGGTTCCTCCTTCTTATGGAAAGTGATCACCACTGTCTTAGATTTCCTTAGCATTCTGGCTTATAAGATCTTCACCCCTTGCGTGCGGACTCAAAGAGGTTGCTTCACCTTGGCGTGCACAACACGCTGGAAGACATAGCTAAGTCACCAGAGAGGGTGCAGTTCATGAGACTTTTTACCCCCAGTGCCGGGAGAATCCTGAAAGAGCTTGGTGTTCACCCAACAGAAATCGATACCAGATCCTGCAGCGTTTCTAGAGAACGACGAGAGCGAATTACCGTGAACCCATACCTCAGAATGTCTAGCATGAATACAATTCAGCCAGATCACGTGCTAGGGTTGAAGCTCTCCTGAGAGTACCCATGCACATGCCCGGAGTTGCTGTTTCGTTGATTCTGCACGGTACCCAACTAGAAAAATATTCGTTGCAGTCACCGTTGATACATAAGGCATTTGTTACAAACTCCTCGTCGGTCCGGACCACAACGGCCGATGTTGCCGAACAGGTCGCAATAGCCTTGGAGCTGCTAGACGACAGGAGAACAACAATATACAGTAACTCAAGATCAGCAGTTCGAGCATTCGGTAGAGGTACCATCTCAAAATCAGCCTTGCGAATCCTGTGAAGTAAGAAGCTACAACTACACACAATCGTTCCAGCTCACATCGAAAAGATTGAAGGCGCTCCGTTCAACCTGGACGAGAAGGCCCACAGAGCTGCGTGAGCAGTTGTCGACCACGTAGCTACTGAATGGCGTCACGACGAAGTTCTGGAATATTTAACTGATGAAGCGAAATATCCGCCACCGCAACATTCAAATGAAGAGGCCTGAAGCATCGATGCTCAGGCTCCTGCAGGGCGGGGCATATTCCAGTCCCGCACTCTTGCACAAAATTTACCCAGATATTCAGACGGCAAATACATTCACGCTTTGCCTGCAGACTCTGCCAATTTAGGCCATATCCTCTGGCAGTGCCCTGTACTACGGATTGAAAATGTTATATCGTCAAAGTGAGATCCTGCGCAACGCAGTACGGATTTAAGGACGCAGCTATGGGCAGCCGTACGGGCCCACGACGTCGCGGACAGGTTAGGCATATCTGTCTCGACGTGGGAGCGGCCCGTGATGTGCTATTTCACGACCTGAAGGGCCTAATTGAAGGTTTTTCAAGCCATACCATACCGCAAGAAATGGGCTACTTTATATCGCAACTCTGTTGACAACGAAAATATTTATTATTCGTTTACAATACTTCCTGCTCATAGGCCCGAGCGGGATTCAAGTATTACAAACTTGAATGTGAACTTGGATTAGCAAAATGAACACCGACAATTTGCCGGGAGGAAATGTTGAGGCATCTCATCGCTTCGAAGACCAGCTGCAAGCTGTCGAACGGGCAACGTTGTGGCTGAAGTGCTTGACCTGACGGTGCCATCGTGGGCGCAGCACGTCTCAGCCAAAACAGGCCGAGTCTGAAGACTTCTGCAAAACAAAGTTGTCAGACAAACTAACAGAGCCACATGGTTATATCCCTGCATGTTCACTGCGTGATAAGTAGCAAATACAAAATATTAATACAACCACATTCGTTTCAGTCAGTTTTGAAAATTCAATGTCTTAAGAGAACGACTTGAAGATCGTTCAAGTTGGAAATAGTTCTTAAAAAGGGCTTTGCTTATATGCGTTGTTTTGTTTAGCAAATAGCTGCGGTGATATCTACGACGTGAAGTATTTCCTTTGGCTTTGCCAGTGGTTCGACAGGGAAAAACAAGCAATGGTTGTCAGTTAGAAAGAGTGGTTGTCTTAGTCACAGGACATTTGGAGGTGGCAATTGTCCTCTAGGGTGCGTGGCCAAAAAAGAGGCGTGCAACAACTTTTGCTTGCCTTCCTGCGAGACACTGCACTTGTTAACACGTGCTAACATGGACCTACGATTCGTGAGATGCTCAAGCGGAGAAGTTTTCGACTATGTACGTCAGGCTACACAGGTAGGTTGCAACATCACTGCCCCCATGGCAAACAGTTGTTTCAGCACCTGGCGTCATTGTGGCGATTGCGGGCTGGACATATATAGGATTCGGCATGTAGGCTTTGACTGCACGCTTGAAAATATTCTTTGTTATCTACAAAGTGGCGCCTAGATGGTCCCTTCTGTTGGCCGGGTGCAAAACGTCTGGCTCTCTGGCATACCCGCAGCAGTAGCTGTTGCTATGGCGCTAAGCTGCTTTCGATACTGGTTAGGGGCAACCACTTTTTGTGGGGTTGAAACGGGAAAACAACCAAACACTACAATGCTGGAGCACATCAGAAGCGGTTTAGCCTTCACACCCTGCGTGCTTCTTAAACACTGGATGGTTGAAACCCCATTAGTTAATTGCTTTATGCCAGGACTCGCCATCACGTCCTGGTTTTCAATTTCGTTGAAAGAGCAAGAGCCAGGCTGGCTTCGAGTCGCAAGATGAAGCAACTTCCATCACAAATTCCTGTTAGACCAAAGGAGTTGGAACTGATTTCGTAGAAAGGGCAAGAGCCAGAGTAGCTTTGAGCCACAAGATACAGTGAGTTCCCTTGTAAATGCCCGTTAGACCAAAAAAGTTGGAACTGAACGAAAGACTTCAACTGGATCGTCCAACCACACTGCATCCTTCCACTGAGAAGCAGGGGTGATGGCCAAAGGTTTAACGCCAGATAGGTGCATCTAATAGGGTGTTTGTCAAAACCAGCACTTCCTCGAAGCGCCTGCGTCACGAGCGACCGTGGTGCGGGAAGCCTTTGGCAAGCAATTAAATATTGCGATGAAAAAATCCCCGAGTTACGAAGAAGTGAGCATCATGCTCCCGTAGCTCAGAGGTGGAGGCAGGAAGTGCGTCGTAACTTGGTTTGTTCAATGGACGTGAGCCCAGCAGTCTGAGTGCGTCACGTGCGGCGAAGACGCGCTGCTTGCGCGCGCGAGGTGTTCCCTGTGCTTCTAATTCCGGCTCGACCTCCTGTGACACCCGGCAGAGAGAAGTGCGGCTGCGTGAAAGGCAGCCGAAAGAAACAAAGACAGGAGCAAACACGTGGTCTGCAGAACCCCAGGTCCTTCAAGGCGGCCGACCTTAACTAAGAGACAAAGAAAAAGAAACAGCGTCAGCCAACGAGAGCACAAAACTGTTGGGAGGAAAAAAAAAACAGATGGCCAAAGCCCTTCCAGGATCAGAGCCCCGGGTGTTTCGTCGTTGGCTCAGGTCCGAGGTCAGCTGATTGTGGTTTTCCGGAGGAAGAGGACGAGTGGGCTCCTGCCACGGGTTTATATTTGGGTGGGCCGGGGGTGCGGAGTCAGAAAGCAAATCGTCGTCTCGTCAACAGAGCAGGCGCATTTTGGTGGCTACGCGTTCACCAGTGTTTTGCAGAACTCTGTTCATCTGCTGTGTCTCTTCTAGACGTGCCCAATTTGTGCTAGCGTGTGCTTTGCACTTGCGAGACAATGCCTCCCCCGTCGCAGCAGCAGGTGGACATCGTCGGTGGCGCTGGCAAGGCTGTCATCAAGGTGGTTCATCGGTGCACGGATGCCACAGAGAACCAAAATCTTGGTGAGTAAATAATATACACGACCCGCCCATGAATGACGATGTGCATAATGGTGGCATGGATTTTGTGGTTGGGCTGCCGCGTTTTTGTGCAGTTTATGCGCAAGTTTTTTGAAGCCGTGTCGTTCAGAAGACTTGCGACAGGGGAAGCATTATGTCATATTTTGTTTCTGATAAGTGGACGTCTCAGCGATCCTCATTAGCCTCTACGGGAGTTCTTTTAACGATAACTTGCCCCGAGCGACCAATTAAATGTGGCTGCTGGAAACGACGTTAGTGAAAGTGTCTTGAGGTGATTCATGCGCGAGGGACAAACGCGACAAACATATCAGCATGCCTTTGTTACCTGGGCAAACTGAAGGGTGAAGATGTGCCTAGCACTTTTACTTTGCTACTGGGGCCCTTCAAGCAACCGGTCAATACAGTTTTCAACTAAGGTGAAAAAGCGCGGTAGCAGAGAGTGTGTGGTGTAGGTCTTGATCGTTATTTCAAGAAAGGTCCCTTGCACAGACAGGGCTGACACTGTTTCGTGCAAGCGATCATCAAACTGTGCTATGCAGTAGTGTTCTACACTAGACTTCCAAGAAATACGGCTTACCTATATCAATGATTAATTTGTGGGGTTTAACGTCCCAAAACCACCATATGATTATGAGAGACGCCGTAGTGGAGGGCTCTGGAAAGTTTGACCACCTGGGGTTCTTTAACGTGCACCCATATCTGAGCACATGGGCCTACGACATTTCAGCCTCCATCAGAAATGCATCCGCCGCAGCCGGGATTTGAACCCGCGACCTGCGGGTCAGCAGCCGGGTACCTTAGCCACTAGACCACCGCGGCGAGGCGGCTTACCTATATCAAGTATTTACATATTCTCTTATTCATCTCAATATATTGAAGCCCAGGAAGCGTTACAGAATGAAGAGGCTAACAATGTTCAAAATAACAGGATTGAAAACTGGAACAGAATGCATAGTATTCAATAGCAGCGCTAAACGCAGTTCCATGGTTAAGTTGGGCAGCAAAAGTGGGTGGTTGGTTCCAGTCATTCGAGGGTAGTCTGCTCTGCTTACATAGCAATAGCACCGGCTTGTATTGGTAGGGGATGCTTTTATGTATGTATCACATACCGAGATCAAAGGTCCACTCGCGCTAATGTGCGTATAGTTTCTACATATCAGTAGTGGCTAACTGAATCTGTTATAGCCAAAGCTGACACAGGGGCAACTTGAAGAACTTTGAAAATAACATTACTGCACTTTATTTAGTTGCATAATAAATATTAAACGGTGAGAAACAAAGGTATTCACGCAAGTTCTCTAAGTAGCACATCCAGACACCTTGCCTTTTTGTGTGTGTGTGTGATGAATCTGCTGCGTGCTGTTTTTGTTTTACTAACATCATGATTCGGAAAAGTGCCTGCTAACTTGGCAAAAAGATAACGAAGCAATTGGTACTTACCTCTGCGATACATAGTTGTGTTGGAACAAGAGACTGGCGCACACAATAGCGCAAGAATTCTTCCCTATACATCCTCTTTCTGGTGACCCCTCCCACTGGGCCGATTTAAAACCTATATATGCCTGAACGTTTACCCAGAAAAGGATCGCACCTGTCTTAAGAGCTGGTGCAGTGTCGTCATTTGTCCCCGAATAACCAATTCTGGCAAATTTCTAGGCTCCTTTTAAAGGGGACATAATTGTGCTATCAGAGAAGAGTAATTGAGGCTAATGATTACATTGAAATGTCTTGAATATGCTCTGAAGTAATGACACTCTGTCAGTTTTAGGTAACTGAGAATTACTGAATGCACTTTGGCCTTAATATGCAAGAATTGATAGTTTGACGCATTCATTTGATACAATCACTAGTTATTAACGCAAGAATAAAGAAATTCAGATCATGTCATCATAACAGATCTTGCAAACATTCCGGCTTTGATGGAAAGGGTCATGCGTTGCCTATACGCATGCCAGTAAAATTCATCCTAGTTATTCTCCTAAAACATTCCGTCTTTATTGGAGAAGTAAAAAGGCGGTTACTCTTCAATGAAACAGGCTTCATTGAAAAGAAACAAACCGAAATTACAGTTCGACTATTTGAATCACAGTTCTGCACCGTCCGCTAAAAAAAAAACGACAAAGCTACGTCGAACCAGTGGTCTACAGCTTGTCGCTGCGTATACTCTGTGGTCACGAAATACAGGTGTAAGCAGATGCGAGTTTGAATGTCATCGATGGTTCAGCAGAAGCAATGATCTCGTTAAGGCGTAGCATCATGTGCACTATTCGCTAGATAGATGTGGACCGAGTGTGGCCCTTCGCTCCTAAAAAATTCTCCGAGCATATGTGGCCTCTCTGACTTCTATTGTGGTAGTCATTCGCAAAATACTTTCAGTGCGAAGACGAATGATTCTAAATTTCCGTGCGTCGAAGCGGTGCTTTTACCTCTCAACCATTTCGCCCAGTTATTGGGCTTGAGCTGCATCCCTCCCTTACATAGAGGACACCAAGCTTCACGCTGTTCCGTCGGACCTATCTATCATCAGGTGCCGCTACAAACGCGCCCTCCTTTATCGGCACAAAAGCTTGAAAGTACGAATCACACCAGGCGCGTGAGGGACGTAATAAGATAATGCCACGTTCCAAATCACGGGCGATTGAAAAATCGGTGTGGCGGCGCGTTAGAACTTTTCTTAAACTTTATATTAAGACACACATTTTACCTACAGTGACTAAATACGCATGTTTACAATGCCGTAGGCATGCGCTAGCTTCCACCCCACCACAGTGGTCTAGTGGCTAAAGTACTCGGTTGCTGACCCGCAGGTCACGGACTCGATTTCCTGCTGAGGCGGCTGCATTTTTGTGGAGCGGAAAATGCTGTAGGCGCGTGTGCTCAGATTTGAGTGCAAGGTAAAAATCTCCAAATGGTTGAAATTTTCGGAGCCCTCTACTACGGCGTCTCTCATAATCATAAAGTAGTTTTGGGACGTTGAATTCCACATACCAATCAAATCAATGCGCTAGCTCCTCCATTTCAAGAATTCTCATAGCTTTAGGTGCTTCTAATGCTGTCTGTTAAATGCGGCTATTGCCATCGAAGAAGCACGCAAGCTAGTGTGTATGTCGTCAATGAATATTTCTTGCTCAAATAATTACGAATGCCTATAATATTTTGTGCCAGAGACCATTTGAATAAAGTAGTTTAAGTACGTCCTTGTATATTCATGATACCAGTGAAACTTGCCATGGACAAACGCTATATGAACAGTTCACACACAGCAACGCATCCAGCTGTTAGCGAAGGGTGCTTGCATTCTCCTTTTATTGTATGCCGGACGCGAAGAAAACAGCAAAAAATCACGTTTATTTGTAAGGAAACACAAAGAGAACCCACACCATCTATGTTTTCTGCGGCATATCTCCTATCTACCAGACCGAGACAGCACTGATAGTGCAAAGTACGAGGGCACAATAAAGTGATAAAACGAACCGCTGTCGACATAACTGGACTGCGAAGCTGTCTGTTTTTTCTGCTACTGCGGCTCTTTTCTACACGTAATGTTGGAAGAATGATGTTTGTATGGGGTATAAATACAATATACATACACATATACACTCAGGTAGTGTTTAGTGTTATGTTTCAGTCACTCTTTGCATGTGAAATCTACTGCTTTTCTCTTGTGGGCGCATTCATCTTGTTTTCTTTTGTGCAATGCCGTACAGGAGAAAGCAGGCGAGCTGTCATTTTCGCTCTTTGGGGAAAACTTTGCCCCGTCAGGCGTTCTGCATGTGGGAGCATACGCGGTCCACCAAACTTGCTTACATGCGAGCATTGCTTTCCACCTGCAATAATCTTTCTAACGGCTCTTGATTCACCGGTAGTGCACGTCATCTCAGAGTGCTTTGTCCCTTCTCCGCGCAGCAATAAATGCCAGGACGTTGTTAAATTAGGCGTTAAATTTGCTATTACTCATTGCGAGAAAGGTACCCGTTTTCAGTGATTTACGGTAGTGTAAATATCCACTCTAGAACGCCTATAGTTGATCTAGCAGGCCTACAAATGACAAACAGCTTCCTTATTGAATGGTAGTATAGCAGAAGGCGCTTAGTCAGCGCGGACGACTTGAGTCGAAATCATCTAGCGTGCGACATGAGACCAGATGGCATCACGGTACAGCAAATGTGCGAATGTCACAAGGATAATATCATGTTAGGTGAATTACAGAGCCTTCTCATTGTGCCCACTCGTGAAAATCAATTCCGAAGACACAGCGAATAAAAATGACGCAGTTTCAGACACATCAAGCATCATAGCATAGCAAGCCACTCGCCCTCTATTGAGCACTGGATGGCTCTGTGTCTGAGGGTGCCCAAGTATGACACGTATGTTTTTCGTCGTCGTCGGCCGGTATCGAGTGCGCACACAATTGGCTTACACTGCGGATTCAACGCCTTTGTAGGAAAAGCCGTCATTAACAGACGGCAACATGGTGAGCCAGTGCACTATATACGCCAGCATTACCTGTGTTGCTCCGGTATATATAACTGTAGTCTCCGGTATATATAGCAAAATCAGGAATGGGCCCACATTTTGTGTTGAAGGATGGTGACGACACGAGAACGCAACTTGCTTTGACTTGGACTGCATATCTTTGCCAGTCCTTGGCGATTATTTTATCGCTGCGTAACGCACCAGCAGAGTAGTTTTCAGTTGTTGGATAGGCTCAATCCTTGTCAGTTTGTGCTGCTTTCAAACTGACCATGTCACCGATCTACCTCTGAGAATTTTGATCCATATACGGGCGCGAACGTAAGTCTTGTCGGTTTGGTTGAGCTGCCAGACAAAATGGGCTTAGCCTTAAGTGAAACGGTAAACCGACGTTGGTCAGGCTCGCTTATATGCAAAGCACCTGGAGTTCGAAGTCTCGCTTAGAGGACTGCACAATTTCGGGATTTCGCCGTTAAAAAACACTAATACAGTTGTTTAGGAAAATACAGGTTTTCAGCCCCTTAGATTCCCCTGGCGTAACACATTATGCTGCACAAGAAGGCTTGAAGTTTCGCAAAACCATTGAACCACTAAGTTTTTTTTGACGGACCTGCTTCGTCTTAACATTGATGTCCTGATTGTAATAAACCAGAAATCATTGCACACATTTCTATATAATGTGGTAGGTGAGAAAATGCTTATGGAAAGATCCCTTCAGCAACCAACTTGTGCTGGACACCACTTTACGGTAAGTGAGGGCGTCGACACTTGGCTACTGCAACAAGGGTATACTTGGCGCCTTATCCAGTTTTATGAACAAATATCAATGACTTCTACGCTAAGCATCCTCGTTTCAAAATCAAGATGGGAGCGGACTGATAGGAATACGTATTGGGATTGATTGATTGATTGGGGGGGTTTAACGTCCCAAAACCACCACATGATTATGAGAGACGCCGTAGTGGAGGGCTCCGGAAATTTTGACCACCTGGAGTTCTTTAACGTGCACCCAAATCTGAGCACACGGGCCTACGACATCTCCGCCCCCATCGGAAATGCAGCCGCCGCAGCCGGGATTTGAACGCGCGACCTGCGGGTCTGCAGCCGAGTACCATAGCCACTAGACCACCGCGGCGGGGCAACGTAGTGGGATTAGCGGAATGAACAGTGCAAATGCCTTAGACAGGCTGGCCGACGTTTTGATAGGAGAACCTATCTTGATCAAAAATCTTTGATAAAGATAATTCGTACCTACGAAACTTGGGCCAGCCTGCGTCTGAGGCACTTACACTGTACATCCTGCTTATCGCACTCGTTTCGAGAATGAATCGCGAAGCTCTCCGAGGTGTAACATGACACTTCAAACTTGCAACAAAGTTAGTAAAAAAGTGAGAATATTTCATTATCTACGTTGCATAAAGAAAACAAATTCATCATTCGGTATCTTCATTTGTCGTCCAAGCTAATTTCTAGCTTTTGAAGCTCTTTCCGGTTAGCAGTATATTGTCCCTGCAGTGGGTAACTGACTCTAAAGTAACCAACCGAATAAATAAGAGCTTTGCTGTAGCTATTTTGCGACAAATGAGTATTACAGAGAAGATGTGATTTGGTTCATTTGACTTTGTTAAAGCAGCTGCGCAACATTCGTTGCGTGCTGTTTGGCGTCTGCTCAGGGACGGCTTAGCGGCGAGCGATTCCAGCTGTGCCAACATACTTTGCCGTCACGTGAAAGCCGCAATGACCTGCGATCCACCGTTGAGCAATGATTTCTCCAGACATGCACAGATGTTAGCTTGCACTCGGGAGCGGTAAATGGCGTCGCATCCACGTCAATTTCACAGGGAGGGGGCATAGCGCCAGCCGTCGCTCAAGCAATATCGTAATAACATCTTGCCAGGAAGCGGAGAAAGAGAAAAGTTCCAAAGCCCCGTGAGTACACCGGAAATGTGACGTGCCAGGAACGGTCTGGTTTTTGCGCGCTCGCGTCAGGCGGGACCACGCCACTTGCGTTCTGGGCACCGGTTCAAGAATATTTCTCTTTCGCGCCTCGCAACCACGAGACCCTGACTGCGCAACCCCGACATGCGCTGCGCCACAACTTCGGTGGTTGCTGTGCTTAGAGTCGTTTGCTCAAGTATAGCGTGTGGTTCCAAGTTTTGTCAACTCGTTTCTTTGGCGGATAGAGGCCGTCACATGGCCTAAACAAAACGCAAGGCGCTCGCAGAGGATAACACAAAAACGAATGAATGTGCGTATATTGGTGCATATTTTTGTTGTTAGCACTCAGCCAAGAATAAGTACAAGAAAAAATGTCGCTCTTGAAAAGCGCCTTTTCGCGGCGCTTTCGAAAGCACCGCGCTAAAAAAAAGCATCGTGTAGCTCGCCATGGAGTTATGGAAAATTTCCGACAGACGAGGAGACGAGGAACCAACGGTGCTAGCGTGAGGGTACTGGTTGCGTGCTCTCCAAGAACACCAGGGTGCCGCAATGGAAGAAGAACTTGCCGGCCATCCGTTTGTAGCACAGCGCTACAAATATATTCATAATTATTTTTCAGAAAAGAAACTTTTTTTATCAGACGAGCACTTTTTTACTCTCCGCAATACAAATAGGACACAAAGAAAACTTTGATCATGGCTTATGAAAAGCTGACAAAGTTCTGTTTCCAATATCTTTCAAGAGTCTTTATCTTTATTCTGAGGCTCCGCAGGCCTCAAAGTTTTAAAAGTCGTGTTTCTAACGAGTTCAAACTGATGGGATGTAATTGGAAAGAGATTTCCACTCGCTGCCCGCTTTTAGTGCTTTCTATTAGTAAAGAAAGTAAATTTGCATGCAACGGCCCGGTAAATTTTCCGCGATATGGATGCCTCAGCTCATTGTCACAGCTGCTGTCGTACATCGGCTATCTTATTTTATGTTGTATACTGGACGAAAAGTAAATGAATCATGGCTGCGTCCAAGTAATGGAGACAAATTTATTCCCGTTAGCTGTAATATTAGCTATTCTTAGTGATAACGTCTCGGACGGAAAGTTGCAATCAAAAAAGGAATTTATGAAGCTGGCTGCAACAGTCCCGGACATTTAAAAAAAACACTTGCTGTTACGCGCCCAGTATATATTTAATTGTCTAAACAAAACGCGCATTGCAAAATAGAACTCTCAAAAATATACAAAGCTAATTTTTTTACGAAGTAGAGCAGCAGCGTTGACGATAGATATTTGGAGACAAGATACGCACGAAAGAACACGAGGTTTTACAGGTTGAAGGTTTAGACAAGGGAACACATCCGCACGATCCATTCGCAGGCGACACGCTTGCGGCGTGATGGGATGAAGTCATGCTTATCTCTTGAACGCTTTAGCGATCCCTACATTGTCGTCGACAGAGCTGTAGAGGTTAACCTCATTTATGCTTACGGACGCAGCGTTCGCAACAAGAAGTGATGTACGACGTCACCCCCCCCAACCCTCTCCTCTTCCCATATTCAAGAGTAGTCTTTGTGATGATGTGTTTGTTGACGTAGAGGCAGCGTAGCTCTAAACGAGATTCTGTGCATCACAAGACACAATGATCCTACCAGCTGATTTTCTCAGTTCAGTGCGTGCGCGTACGCTTGTTCTTTTGCTCTATTGGGAGTGGTTGGCTACCATAAAAAGAATCGACGATACACCAGCTAAATGCATCGAGAAGTGTCCATTTGGAGTTCAACACCTGGTTCGAATTCAAGCAGCTCAAGCGTGTCGAACGGAGGTTACCGTGATCAAGTATTGACAGGTGCCCTGTAGGTTTTTTGGTTTAATTGGGCTCTCAAAATAAAGAAAGGTGAGGTAACGGATCCCCACCTGCACATAAGCAGTCTCTCGTGAAAGTACCAAAAAATATTACATTTGTATTATGCCAAAGATGACTAAGAAAAATGACCGCGAAACTTAAGTGCACACGTGGATAAACAGTTGAAGCAGCATGCCACAAGAAAAATAAGGCCAATGCGTGCTCACAGAAATTTTGCGAATATTCGGAAAATAGAACTTTGACGGGTACGCACCTTGACTGGCTGGCTAAAAGAATATGCTCAATTGACTTTGCCCGTTCCGTGCAGATCTCTCCGAGTGCCAGCTGATGTCATTCCCGGATGCAATATTTCATCTAATGAGGAACACTCGCGTTCTGGCCTGTGACCTTTCCAGCAACGTGCTTCGCAAGATTCCACCTAAGCTGCCGCTCAAGTTTACCCACATCACAGGTGGGTGCGCACGTGCATGGAGATGTGCTGCTTTTCTTGCCCGTGAAAGTTGTTTAAATAAGAGCCTACCAGCAGTCTCAATCAGCTATGACGCAATTTTTTTTTGGACGCTCGCATCTGTTCTGCTCAATTGCATTATTTTTTATGAATAATTATAATACCTATTCACAGCGTAAGAACATAAGTCACACCGCTCATAGTTTTTGAAAACTGTAAAATTGCATTCTCTAAATGAATTTCGTTGACTTCTGGCAGTGCTTTCTACAAGCATAGGGCGGAAGTGTATTTTGATCGCCCTGAACGCCCGCAAAAATTTTAAAAACGCTATGAATTGAGATTTGAAGACTGAAGTCATGTCCACGACAATATTCAAAAAACAATTCAATACTTGAATAAAGCCGTTACTGGTTTGCCATGTAGGCGGAAGTAAGAGTTTCGCCGAATAACCCTTTGTTATGAGTTTGCGTTGGATGTTTATTTACATTTATGAAGCTAGCGCTGACCTTTTTTCACCCATTTGTGCACAGAATTGAACTTGTCTCACAACCGACTAAGCAGTTTGCCAGAGGAGCTAAAGGAAATGCCCGAGCTTCGGCGGCTAGACATATCGTACAACGACTACATGTCCATGCCTTGGGTCATCTTCCGCCTTCCGAGGCTTACATACCTCGACGCCCGCAAGAATTACATCTCTGGTGAGCTTCTCTGCATTGAAGTATGCTTGGCGCCTACACTTACCTGCATTAGCTTAGCTTCAGGGTCAGCGCAAGCTGTAGTTAATCATTGATGAAAGCAAGATGCATATGCCCGTGATGTATTTTTTATGCGAGCTGCGCATTGTCCTTGCTAACTATATCTTTATGTACACATAAAACTTCCAGCAATGCTGTGCACGTTGTCAGCGATAGTTCTTCATACGACTGATGTATTCATGAGTACACTGCATTTGCAGGGCATGTTGGAGCACCGAGATTATCAAGAAATATATTGGTCATTCGCATAACATTATTTTTATTGGTATGAAAAAGAAAAGGTGTACGGGGTGTGAAGTGGTAACGACGGACTATATAACAGTGAGAGACCTTGTAGTTTTTCAAGTTCCCCCCTTCCAAAAAAAGGATATTGAAGGATGCTGTAGTGAAAGGCCATGGAGCTATTTCTACACGTCCCGTTTGCTATCGAACACAATGATAGCACTACAGTTCTGATATTTTGTTTCTATTATTAGACGAGTGACAAAACAAGAAAAAATGATGGAATCAGACGTAACGAATGCTGGATTGACAAAATACTGTTGTGCGTTGAAAAAACAAAGAAAAATTACTATGCTCATATAATACGACTCGACTACGACTGTATCTCTGATAGCAACAGCATTTTGCAACCATCAGTGACTAGAGCGGCGATTGAGTGAAGAGCCTCGGAGTTAAAACTAAGTAGCCGTGGCACCCGATACTGATATCATGCTTTTGCTACGCAATCAGCATTTCAATTATGAACATGAAATTCATATCACTGTTAGACTTAGCAGGTATGGCGTGTGTTCAAATGTGATTAAAACCTGTTACAATAATTCATAGTGGAGGTGCGTTATGACAACACCATGTAAAATCCGCTGTATATGCAACAAGGTAACACCCAAAGTGACGTGAGGCAAATGATTTGGCGAAGTGTGCTAAGCTCGGCTAGTTGATGATAGTTCATTGCGGAACAACAAAATAAGGACAAAATACAAAGGATGACAGAACGACTGCGCATGTTTGTGTCTTTCAAGCCTGCTGTTTTGGTCATTTCATGCGCTCCTCCGCAACGAACACAATAATTGCCCCGTCTAAAGTACTATAAAAAAACAGACAGAAAGACCAAAATTTTTTCGCGGAAGGTCCCCAAGAAAGACTATCGTCTTTAAAAAAAGAAAGAAAAAGTCTAACACCGTATGCACTTCCCCTTTCGCAGACGTGGAAGCGCCTCGGCTGCGTTCTGTGAGCACCCTGCGTGAAGTTCACTTGGAGGAGAACCCTTTGTCTGAGGACGCCTGTCGCCGACTGGAAAACATCTCACAGATGGTGATCCACGTGACGCCTCCTGGCTCATCCGACTCGGATGATGATTCCTCGTGCGACGAGAATTGATGCTCTCTAGTGCTCGCCAGCCGTGTGAGGCCCTTCGTGGCGTCATACTGGGACTTGTTCAAATGTGCTCCGGAAGTGGTCTCATGTGCCATTGGCCAACATTGTGATATCGCGGACTTTTGTAAACACACATTTTCACTCAGAAGGCACCAGCCATCTCCTTGTTTCAGAGGGTCCCTCAGAGGTTTGACCCTGCTAGGCCACCACTTTCCACCGTGAAAAATTCCAGACACTCAGTGGATGGCCATGCTTTGCTAAGCTGCCATTCCTGCGAAGGAATGGTGGATGCGATTGAGGAGAAAATCGTGACCACATTGGTGACGCTATGAGTGGCAATAATTCTCGTGTGTGGTCTGTATACCCGCGCGATTTGTGCCACACTCGTGATCATAAGCTCCATGTAACCACTTATTAATGTGTTGACAAAACATTTGCGTTCAAGCCCGAACATTAGTGTGAGATCATCGTCGATGCAATAATATGGAACTGCTAATGTAAGTATGGCTACGTATATTATCTTACAATGGTCACACAAAAAAAAGTTACGCGTGCGCGGCGTTGTGAAGCTCCGAAAATATACCAGAGGAAATGAAACCTCACCTGACTTGTCGTTTTCCTCATGGCTCATTTTCGTATACAAAATTTGACAAAGAGCACCTTGAAGCTGTGAATCTCATCAGAAGACACACGTCACGGTACGGCTTTGTGTCGAACCAGGTTGTGCTATATAACTAAATATGCATGAAAAGGTTAAGTTACGCAGGAGCACTTATGAGGTTATAGCTTTTAGAGCTGCATATTAAAGAACAAAACATGTTGCATTTAGTCAAAATTTTGGTATTGCAATGCACGTTTTTTCTCGGTGTGATATCTCTCTTCGACTAGTTAACGCAAGTGAAAGATGCAAAATGAACACTGATTCAAACTCCTTGCGTGTTTATGGCGCGTAGTAGCAGAGAGATTCATAGTTTACTTAAAAAATAAATATCAGAGACAGCTTCTATGGCAAAATAAAAATTATTGCAGTAGATTCAAAGGGGAAAGAACGTAAAAAATTGTCTGAGAGGGCCGTTCGGACAGCCGTGAGTACATTCTATAACTGCCCAGACCGACACCTTAGTTATCTGTTTCAGGAGGGCATTGTATATATGTTCGTACAGGCACTAGAGCTCTTTATTTCTGTGTAAATACAGATACTTATTTTGCATACGTTGTCACGAATTATTCAGACAGTGCTTTGTTCAGCACATATGGCGTGCAGGCGCTTTTTTGTATATCTTGTCAGCGGTTGGCCTTTGTCAGCATGGTTTGGTTAGGAAGGACACACTGCTACGTTCAACTGCTTGAACACCTAGCAAATTGTAGATATGTACACTTTACTGAGCTTTACTGAAAATTTATCAAGACAATATCCACAGTGTTATTCTAAATAAAACAATTGTGGACCTTTCGAACGTATTGTCATGCATGAGCTGATATTGATGCAGCTGCGAAATTCCTGGTTTGAGGTTCGCAGTGTTAGATACCTCAATTTCTCAATATTTCAATGAGTTTCTACAAAGGAAGATGCACAGTTCAAGAGTTCTTGTATATACTCCAAAATCTCCGCAATGTGCGAAATCAATGCCTTGCGGACCTTATTCGCGTACGATGGAAATTATATGTGGTTGGAATGACTCACGACGCCTTTGTATAAAAAAGACGTATCGAATAACGTTTAATTACACGCTCTATAAAAGGCAAAATACGTGTTAACAGCATTAACGAAGTCAAATCAAGACAAAAGCGCACCTTAGCTTTAATATATTTTGTACATACGAGCACAAGGCTCGCCAGATGTCATTCCATATCACAGTAAACAGCCTAGTGTGGACCGAGTGTGACGAGCGTCTCATCTTTGGAGGACGCCGCACTAAGCTGTACTCCAAGTGACGATTCCACAATTCATGGCCAGCTGTGTTGTGATAATCGTTAGGCTAGTTTTCTGTTGTGATGTGCACCCGCACAGAGGACTGAGATGTATTTGTCGCGCGATCCCGTCATATGTGTGCTGCCGCAAGAAGTTCAGAGTTATTGGTTGTAAAAAAAAAACTGACGAGCCAAAACTCTCGCCCTGGTGACTTTTGGCAATTGCTGCAGAGAAATTGTGGTGCAAATGAAAGCCCTAATACAGATGTTGGAATGGGCGGCAATGTTTACTGCACCCTCATGTCACGAGACGTATTGAGGAGCGTACTCGGAGCGAGTTATTTAGTGAAGCAAACTATGGAATGTAATTTTCACAATGTTTGAGTGTGGCACAGAGTTTGGTTATCACATTTTTCACGCGTATGAGAACGAGAGCTGCTCTATTTGCCGTATTCAGCTGAATTGATTCTTTACGGATTTTCTCAAGAGAATTTATTCAGAGACAGCAGGTTGCAGGAGGCACAAGTCATGTATTTAGTGTGTAGTAGTTACCATTGGCGTGTGCGTTTTATAGTTGCGTTATTTCATTATGTGTTCACTGTACAATGAGTGCTGACTGAGTACGGTTTTGTATGATAGAAATGCGGTTGGTTATGGGTGACGATGTTCTCAGTGACCCATTAGACGCAACGCCTGGAGATGCAGTGATATAAAAACAAAACTGGAAGCGCAATAAATGGGCAATATTGTTTTTACAGGGTGTGTCTGTGCACTTTTTCGCCTCCTGGGGGAGAGGGATAAACACGTACACTCTTGATCGGGTTCTGATGAGATGCTGGCTATATCCAGGAAACACGATGAAAGATGTTGGGTGTCCTGCCTATACCTAGCACTTGAAGGAGGACGTCATTAAGAGTGTAGAGCGAAAAAAGCAGTGGGCTTTCGCCCATAGCACTTCGCACGTGTTCAAGAAGGAAAGAGTATATTACTGGAAAAGTTATTCAAATCATCACTGCGGCAGAGAAGTTGGATCAGTTGAACGGCTATAAACAGCCTCAATTAATGCAGTGTCGGCTATGATGCTTCTTCATTAGGGCCAAAACCCAATGTAGTGCACACACGCACGCACGCACACACATGCACACACACACACACGCACGCACACACACACACACACACACACATACATACACAAGGATAAAGTTAAAAAATAAAGAAAGGCAGTCAAAAGATTGTCACTGTCGTGCGCCTCGATCTACCTTACTGACATTAGCTTTAGCTTCACACTAGTGATGCAACACGATCCCCACATATGGCCGAAAACGAACGACACCCACGTCATTAAAACGAGTCAACATAAGACCTTCTGACCGTTATCTGGATTTTAAGTTTTGCGGATATAATCAGCAAAGCGTCAAGCGCACTGGTCGGCAGCTTAAGAATTAGTGAATTAGAAGTTTATCAATCGAACGGGCGTAGGGTAAGAGAGGCTAAGCCACGTTGGCTGCCAGGCTATGCTTCTCAATTGGGTATCCTCGCGCCAAGACCCTTGTCTTGACTTTTCCGTAAGTGTGGGAGTGCAGGTTTCACATTGCTCCTCGGTGGCGGGCGAGGAAATAAAACTGGTGGGTGGAGGATATTCCGGCCAGTCCCTAAGGTTGTTGTTCAATGAGGTAACTTTACCTCACAGTCAGCAGTGTGGACATGATTGATTTATATGTGGGGTTTAACGTCCCAAAAACATCATATTACTATGAGAGAAGCCATGATAGAGGGCTCCGAAAATTTTGAAAACCTGGGATTCTTCAACGTGCAACCAAATCTAAGCACACGGACCTATATCGTTTTCGCCTCCATCAAAAATGCAGCTGCCGCAGCTGCGATTCCATCTCACGACCTGCAGGTCAGCAGTCGAGTACCTTAGTCACTAAACCACCGTGGAGGGAGCAGTGTGGATCTATGACACCTGGGTGAATGTTGAAAAAACACAAGAAGGATGCGAAAAGTGTGGGTCTGTGGTAACGTGAGGTGATTTTGGACCGCTTAGAAAGAGAACATTGAGAGACTACATAGCCGTACGGCTCGAGACAAGTATAATCGTCATCAGCCCGATTACGCTCACTGCAGGGCAAAGGCTTCTTCGTGTTCCGCCAAATAACTTTGTGTTGTGTTTTTTCTGCCACCTTATACCTGCAAACTTTCTCATCTTATCTGCTCACTTAACTTTCCGTCTCCCCTTCATACGTTTGCCTTCTCTGGGAATCCAGTCATTTACTCAGTGGATATCCCGCCTACTTGCTACGTGCCCGGTGCATGACGATCTCTTCTTCTTGATTTCGCCTATGATGTCCGTAACACCTGTCTTTTTCCTGATTCACTCTGGTCTCTTCTTGTATATTAAGGTCAAAACTATCACTTCCTTTCCTTCGCTCTCTGGACCATCGTCAATTCAAACTGAGCTCTCGTTGTTAGCCTCCAAATTTCTGCTCCATAGGTAAGCACTGGCAAGATGCAGATGCTATATTCCCTACTTTTGAGGGTTTGTGGCACATTACCAATCATGAGTTGAGAGTCCTTGTCGAATATGACCCACCCCATTCTTATATTTCAACATATTTTACTCTCGTGGTTCGGCTCTGCGGTTAGTACCTGTCCTAAGTAGGCATATTCCTTTACAACTTTCAGCCGCTCTTCATCTATAGCAGAGTGCTGTTTTCTATCGAGACTGCTTCACATTAGTTTTTTGCATATCAATTTTCAGATCTACTCTTCTGCTTTGTCTGCCCAGTTTAGTATTTCTGGGCTGGAATTATTCCCCTTAGTTACTCATTAAGACAGTACCATCAGCGAATCGCCGGTTACTAAGGTACTCTCTATTAACTAGTGTTCCTAACTCTCTTCAATTTAGGACCCTGAACCCTCCTGTACACACGCGTTGAATAGCATTGGAGATATCGTGTCTTCATGAAGAACTATGATGGCTGTGAATCCGCTGCGGCTTTGCTCCTGTATCTTTACGTAGGATTCTTCGATGTCCTGATTCTGTATTGCCTGCAATACGGCTGATGCCTCGACTGAGTCAAATGCCTTCTCGTAATCTAGGAAAGCTATGTATAGCGGTTGGTTGTATTACGCCCTTTCTCTATCACCGGATTGTTAGTATGAGCAGGGCCTATTGTGGAGCAGCCTGCACAAAATCCTGCCTGGTCCTTTGGTTCAATGGGCCGTAATGCGCCTTAATTCAGTAAGCTTTTATTTTCTTAAATAGTTTGTGGAGAGCTTAGAGTAAGCTGACCGGCCTGTAATTTTTCAAGTCCTTCACGTCTTTGTTCTTATTAATTAAAATGATACAGCCTTTCTTTGGAAATTATGGTACCCTTTTCGTTACGAGACACTTCGTACGAAAGGTGGCCAATTTGTCAAATACAATTTCTCTGCCATCTTTCAGCAGGTCAGTTGTTTTCTTATCTTCCCCAGCAGCTTTGCCTCTTTAGATTTTTTCAAGGCTTTCCTTACTTCTCCAGTCGTCACTGGTAAGACATCCTACCACTAACGACAGCAGAAGTATTAGTAATTAGAGGTATGTCGAATTACTATGGTCTATTAATGCTTCTTTTGGTTTGCCATTGGTTTGCCAGTGCTGGTGATCATGTATGCACACATAAGTTATTTGTTTTAAATAAATCTCAATCAGTGCTGCGGTGCAAATATAATATTTTTTAACATGTAAATATATCAAAAATCTGGCTGCTATATATTCACCTAACCCACTAAAGTTGACTGCGAGCCCAAGGCTCTAAGTAGCCACCGCACGGCTTTTTAAGCGTCTCTGGCATGCCTCTATATTCGCCTCTCTGTTTGAACATTCAGTGGTTAGCCGCATTCGCAAAGAAGTGGTCGACAATATGGCAACGACTGTGCTGCAAAATCAATTCCTAGCTCAAAATCTTTCATGGAAGTACATCGACGATTTATTAATTATAGATCTGCTACAGCCGCAGCCGCGGAAGAACCTTCGCGTGAACGGCGTGTTGGATATTGAGGCCATTGATGCAACCACCTTCTATCGAAACTTCACGTTCCACAAAGCCGATTTCGACAACCTGATCACTGGCCTGCTCACTCCCGGCGAAGTGATAAGCGTGCAGCGCGTCCGAGATTCCAAGGCTTTGTGTATGACACTGCGGCGCCTTGCTTATCCAAATCGGCTTTGTGACTTGGAAATAATATTCTACCGCCAATGCTACGTGATGTCAAGTGTGCTGTCCAAAGTAATGTCTCACATCGAATGTTACTTTGAACTCCTGCTTCTATATCTCACGGTTTATGGTTGGATGAACCTCCAAAACCTGTAACTGTTTTCACAGGTACGCATGAAAGTCAATAAATTTTGTTTGAATATCACTTTTTTGTACGAAGCAATGTAGAAGCATGTCCAAAAGCTCGCAGAATATTTAAAGTAGCAGGTGTAAATGAAACGGCAAAAAACGCCACGTTTAATTGAATTACTTATTTCGATTTCGCTGCATGGCGGGCCTACTAAATTGACGATTTGCCAGCATTGCAGCATGTATGCTGTAGTGAAATCCTTGGCTCAGGCTGGTTAAATGCAATGAAATGCGTCTGTTCGTTTCTCGAGGTTTTTAAATGTTCCGGTCACATCGAAGCAAGCTCAAAAACTGTCATAATCGCACAAGCTGAGAGGATACATCTGTACTACAGTTTTGAGCTCAGACAAACATAGGCACACTATAGCGATTACATTAGATGTAAATGTGCCAGCTTGTGTTGTTTTTTCAGCCTCTTTATTCTTTTGCAACCCTGTTTTTACTGTGCAAGACAACAATTGCACACGAAAAAAAAAACAGATCAATTAGACAACTAGAATGCAATGCGATGACCTTCCGTGTGACCTCTTCCACCGGAAGTCCTCGATGAAGTGTTTTGGATCCATCATTATTAGGACCTTGTGTAAGTAATATATGTCATAGAGATATTACCGGATTAACGGCACCGATAGCATGTGTTTCAAGAACAAGTGCGAAAGTAGAGCACCCATTATGTGAGATATTGGTATCAAACAGCTGTGACACCATGAGCGAAAAAGGTAATATTATGCTAGCAGGCTCATGCAGCAGCACACTAAGGCTCATCGAGACTCCGGTCAAGCTGTGCATCTGTGTTCGTCGGTCTCGGCAATAAGTTGCTGAGTTTGATTCCAAGTGAATGCAGTGGAGAAAAAGCTTTGTCACTTCGAGTGCGAGGAAAAATTTTGGTGTGTTTCAGAGGGAGCAAGTGCACCGAACAAAATATATCTTTCGAGCGAGTGTAAGAGAGCTCCAATGCTCTGGCTGGCTTCTCATTGTACGTTTACCTTTATATTTTTTACTAAATTGCTGCTGTGCATAATGTTTATGCTTTAGGTACTCCTAATTGTCGGCCTCCCTATGTGGCATGAAACATCATTTCTATTCAGTGTACCTTTAATCCAAAGGGCCCAGGCTAACTGTAGATTAGGAGAGGCAAGCATAAGGCACCCTTCCAGTATATTGCAGATTGCAGTGCGTGTTTGTGAAATTTTAAGCGAAAATATTTGTGAGTGATGGATTCAACACTGATGCACTAGGTACAGCTTGTTGCCACAGGTCAGTCAGCCTCTACAACTCTGCGAACCATGGCCGAAATGCTGGCACTTAAAGCACCTGTGCGGATTTGAAATAGATTGCCTGATGCTAGCTTTGTGTAGCCAGTTTCTAG